TATGCCCGAGTCTGTTGTTACCAGCGCACATACAACCCTAAGCCGACTTATGGCAGCCCGAGCGGCAGCGCCAGTGCGCACACATAAAGGGGGGGGGGTGGGGGGGTTAGGGGGTGGCTGTCGAGGGCTATGCCCGAGTCTGTTGTTACCAGCGCACATACAACCCTAGCCAGCTTATGGCAGCCCGAGCGGCAGCGCCAACTTAGCCCTAGCGGCAGCGCGAAGTTTAGGGTTAGGGGTTAGGGGGGTAGGGGGTTAGGGGTTAGGGGTTAGGGGTTAGGAGTTAGGGGTTAGGGGGTTAGGGGGGTGGGGGTTAGGGGTTAGGGGTTAGGGGTTAAGGGTTATAGGGGTTAGGGGTTAGGGGTTAGGTGGGGCGGATGCGTCAGACGTATGCGTAATACGTGAGGCGTAACCCTTGCTGGCCGCCACTTCTCAGTCAAATCCGTCGTGCGTGTGCGTAATACATGGGACGTAAGCTCCCCCCGACACCCATGGCGACCGATGCGTCAGACGTATGCGTAATACGTGAGGCGTAACCCTTGCTGGCCGCCACTTCTCAGTCAAATCCGTCGTGCGTGTGCGTAATACGTGGGACGTAAGCTCCCCCCGACACCCATGGCGACCGATGCGTCAGACGTATGCGTAATACATGAGGCGTAACCCCCTCTCCGCCGCCGTTCACGGTCGAGAGCGTAGAGCATGTGCGTAATGCGTCGGTCATAGGCTCACCCAGCCCCGATTTACGATCCCACTGCGTAAGACCTGTGCGTAATACACCGTGCGTAGCGGCCCGAGAGAGCCTCTCTGGCAAAGCTTACATAAAACAGATGCGTGGTGCGTGGTGCGTAGCGGCCAGAAGGTCGGTGGTAACGATCGGGACAGAAGACGTGCGCATAATTCGCAGCACATTTGAAATCACCGATCGTGCTTTCTGTCTGTACGCGTAAAGCGAGGCGTATGCGTGACGCATCACTGAGCCTCCACCCGGCTTGACACGGCACCAAAATACACGACGTCTCAGCGACGTCCTACGAACCGTGGGCATGGATGTGCATAAGGTGGCCGACAATTGCATTAGTGGCTCTTACATATCCATAGCGGGACTAATAACCTCCCCGTGCGATCACAGGCGGGAGCATCGCCATATCGGCGGCGATCGGGCTGCTCTTTTGTACACACGTTGACTTTGATCGATAACGTATCTCTTTCTGCTCACACACCTCACAGCCCCCGGCGGCGCAGCATCTTCGCCGAGCGAAACACCTCCACCTCTCGCAGCCTCCTGCTCGGCCGCAGCGCGCGCATCGCGCGTCGGCGCGCGCCCTCGGTCGCCCACCCGCCGCAGAACCAGACGGCGTGGAAGGGGCTCGCGCTGTTCCCAGTCGCCTATGACATGCGGTCGTGCATAACGCCACGGGACATCAACATCATGCCCGCAGTCGCGTGGACAGGGGCTCACGCCGCTTGCTCGCCTGCGGGTGCTTGAACTGGTACCGCACCGAGGGGCGGACGTAGAAGACGCCCGCAGCCCTCTCCAGCCCGCCCTCCCCCACCCTCCG